GTGCCTTCATGATGGTGAAAGCATAATGTACCTTGAAATTAGGACAATCATGGAGAAGGAAAAAGAAATATTGATGACTGCCAGTTCAGATCATGTCCTAATATATATTAACTACTTCTTAACTTTTTTTACAAAGATAGGTGTATTTTGAACATAGGATATTTTATTGTAAATAAAACTAGCATCAATTTTGTCTAATATACACTTATTTTGTAATGCAATGAAAATGTGTCCTTTTTGTAGTCTGATAAGTGTATGATTTATTTGAAAATGAGTTTTGAAGCTTGGCACATGCCACCAGTATATATACATTAGGGATGTCAGAATATGCAGAACACACAAATGCAGATTGTCAAAATCCAATCCCAGTATTGACCGATCTTGAGCGCATCAGCACCAAACCGATCTACCAATCCAATATTTCACTCAGGTTGCAGGCTTAATTAAGAGCAAGCCTCATAATGTAATAATAACCTTGATATTGGGTCATGTAATTTGACAGTATGGACAAATATTTTATTTCATGTTATATGTGTTAACATATTTGCTTGCTACATTTGTTATTTGTTACTCCAACACATTTATAGCCAGCATGTTTTCTTGCCACTTGAAATTGAATATTCCACTTCAGTAAAATTTTGTTGTTGATGAATTACAATAGTAGATTTTTCTCTCCAACTTCGACTTGTTGTTTCTTGCTTTGATGAACATAATAAATTTTGTATCTGCTGTTATATCACTTCATTTCCTTTTTTTTGTAAGTTTGAATGTATTGCTCATTTGATATTTAATTTGAGACCTATACTGATAAGTAGTTTTTACAGTTGAATTTATTAATTACTTAGCCCTCAGCAACTTCAATATTAAAATAGCCTTTAGATGTAATCCATACAAAAATATAATGAGAAGAGTTCCTCATTATAATATGTACCAAAAGAAATCTAGGAATGTCACCCCCCATTTACAGTCTGAGGCTGAGCCCTCATAAAAAAAAAAAAGAGTAGACTACAGGATGGAGTTCCCACAAATGCTCAGTGATTCTAGAAAAAGCTGTTTATTTCATAACTTTGAAAGTTTTTATTTTCTAACCTTTTGTATTTTTCTTCTTATTTTTATCTTAAATTGAGCTTAAAAATTCTACCTAGAAGATAAGCCGCATGCATGCATTTAAAGGGTTCAATGCTCTTGATCATCTTGTTCCTTTCTGTATATAAACTTTAGTGCTCTGTACTCCAGAACACATTTTCCTCCACATCCACTTAAGTTTTTTATTAAAATATTTGACCAGATTATTCATTACACATTAGATATTGGAACTGGTGGTCACTTGTTCATTCAAGAGAGCCCCCCCCCCCTTATTGGCACAGCGGTATGTCTGCGGACTTACAACGCTAGAAACCTGGTTTCGATACCTGTGGTGGACAGAGCACAAATAGCCCATTGTGTAGTTTTGTGCTTAATTTAAAAAACAAACAATCATTCAAGAGTAATCTAAACATCTGGTTCAGTAAAACATAAGTAAATAATGTTTTGAAATCAGTCAAAAGGAGTACCTACCTTTGAATACATGTACCTCAAAGGAACTTCCATAAAAATTCTGTCTGTGTTTGGTTGTATCAAAGATGTTAAGGCTTTATGGTTGACAGCATCAGTAGGTGACTGCCATGAAAGAGATACCACAAACCTTTTCTTATTCTACTGAGGATATTTCCTCAAACAGTACTGTTGTGTCCTTTACAAAACATTTGAATCTCTCTTGCCAAATAAACACTGAATGCCTTTATTAAAGATTGAAATTCATTTCTCTGCACTACTTTCTTTTTACCACTCAGTTTTCAGTTTTATATAAATATTTGGTTCATTCTTCTGCTTCTACAAATCCCTCCTTAGTTTTCATTTTCCTATTTCTTTTTTTCATGGAAACAAGCACCATTGATATGTTACTCTTTCAAACCTTTTCCATCCTGTTCCATATCATTTGTCCAAATCCACTCCTTCACACTGCTAACAGATTGAAATCAAATAATTTGAATTTTATGGATAATATCAGAATATCAAGAAACTATATATAATTTTGTCATTGAATCAACACAAAAAAGCTATTTACTCTTAATGTTTGTTAGTATACAATATGTATTTGTATTTGTCCTCTTGATATGAGGTCCATATCAATCCTCACTACTGGTGGTCTCCCACCTTTGTTAGGATTGTACATGTTACCATATCATAAGCATTAATAATCATATGCTGATTCACTTAAACATAAATATTGTTTGTTTTACGCCTGCTAATGCCATGCCACATCTACTTTTTAATGCTTTATTAGTGCAATAGTACAGTTAAATCTTAATTTCCCTACAGTATCATTTGGGTTACTTAATATTACTTAAGAATATGATGCAGACCACCTTTCTTCAAATATTTCACAATTTAGTTTTCAATTTAACTAACTAATAAGCAAAATTTCTGTAGAGTTACTTCTCAGCCAATGCAATGTCATAACCTTCAGTACGTTATTACTTCGATAATCATCCAACACTCATTTTCTACTTTACATTAATTTTTATCTAGTTACTAACAATTCATTACTCCCAATATATTGTACCTCACAACTTATGCTAATAATTATCTGAATTTCTGACATTTTTTCAATGTTTACACTTTTCTTACAACTACCATGCACTGATTTTGTCATTGCTTTCAAATTCTTAACAGGTTGTAAGCTTATTCAACCATAAAATTTTACTTTCATGCATTTACAGTACTATTATTCTCATTTACAAGCTTTTTACACTACAAAAACAGTTCACTAACTCCTTACAGAATATATATAGTATGTTTACCTTTAAATTTACTGCTCTCTGCAATTCTTTCCTCTTTACACATTGTGTTGGTTACAGCATTGTTCTTATTGTAATATTACATACATATCATTTGTTCTATGTACAGTTTTTGTTTGGTTATTAAAAACGCAGCCACCAATTGTTCTTCCATCAAACTCCGCACATCACACTTTGTCTAGACATTCAGTAAATTATTCCTTTCACATAAATTCTTGTGATCTTTTTTCATTACTCGGTATAATTACTTTTTCCTTGTGGTTATGTTCTTATAGTGGGTTTTGAATGAGCAGTTTATTTGCTCAAAACTTCATAATATAATAATAATTCCTTGGTTGCACTATTTGGAGAGGTAGTTATATTTATTAACTGGTTAGTGGGGGTCTAGGCTGTGCTTTTCTCTGTAGTTAGAAAGTTACCTTTGTTGTTTCTTATCTTACATTTGAAATATATTTCTTTAAATAGAAAGGGAGATTTAATGTTGTAAGATGAAAGGATAAAATTTCATATTTATTTGAACCTTTTTATCTGGAAGGAGAAAAATTAGAAGCACTAAAAATCCTGTTTAGATTGCGAATAAGTTATACTCACATTTGTTTCTTATTCTTTGAAATAGATAATCAGATCTAGATGTCTGTATCTCCTGTAATTTGGTAGGTACTGTTCTTCTGCGATCTCTTCTATTCTCTAACATACATTGATGTACAGTAGTAGGTGGTCTTAATCACAATGAATTTGATTCTTCTCTTGAGTAGATAATCAAAGTTTTACTGTCACTTGGAAGGAAATAACATATGTAAAGCTATCAGAAATGTTATTTTCCAGTGTGATAATATTAAAGTTGTGGGAACTCGGATGTCGGTTCTTCTGCTTTGCTTGCATATGACTAATAAATAATTAAGATCTATATTACAGAAATACTACCAACTCATTACATATCCAGTATGTTTTCTATAAAAACTCCTTATAACTTCTTGCAATTTGCTTTAGTTGGATAGCTAAATGTAATGCTTTATTTTACTTTAAATGATCATATCTCTACATGAGCTCTTTCACAGATTTAAACTTTACAATATAAAATCATAACATTTTTATTTCAAATACCTACACACTTTAAAAATAATTTTGTTGTATTGAAAATTTCATTATCATAGGCAATTCATGTTCCTCAATTATTAACATTTTGTAAGCTGTTAACTTTGTAAAATTTTACATTAGTATAAGTCAGAATTTAAAAATATGATTCCTTTTGCCAATTGTCAAAATAAAAGGCATTTACTTACACTTCTTAATAGTATACATATGTATATACTGTGTTGTTGTTGGGCTTAGGGTTCTTCTACAGTAGGTTTCTGTGACTTGTTGACAATAAATTCAATGATAAATGAACAAGTTAAACATATGTACAACAAATTATTTACACTATAAAGATTATAGGTGTATCATAAACACTATATATAGTTCACTTCTTCTTATCTAAAGTCCACTTAGACCTATTCAGTTACTTTAGAATTTCAGTTGACATGCTGAACTATCTTCTCTATTACTATCACACTAGTATTCTGTGTGTGATTCACTTACAGTTGTTGAATGAGGTACCATAATAGTTTGGTCCTCTTTCTTCTAAATATCCTCTGTTCCTTTTGTCAAAGTGCACTCTATCACTTCTATGATAATTAATTTCACGCCGAACTTTTCCTTGTCCGTAACTTTACTTTCTTCTGCTATTGTCTTTCTGCTGTTTTCACTTGTCTCACACTATTTATATGTTTATCACTTAATCATCTGCCTTCCTTCTAGAAATCTCTGTATTCTTGATGTTAATGTATTGCACGTGATGTTTGATAGTCTCAACATCAGTGACTTATAAACACAACTTCCTACAATTATCTGCTTTTAACCCTTATTATAACAAAAACTAAACAATAATAAAATATTCATTCACAAAAGTAAATTAATCAATAATATCTAAACAAAACAGTCATTTATATCATGACAAATTAATGTTATTCTCAATTACCAGTTTTTACTCTTCAAAGACAGCTCATTAACTCTACAAAGTAGGTATATATATATATATAGATATAATGCTTATTCTTTTTTGTAAACCTCTCTTCATTTCTTTACACTGTAGTAATACTAATTTTCTTTTTATTTCAGGGCCAAGTCTATTACACCATGTGCTTGCAGTTACTTTTTCAAATAATGTAGAAGAACATCCTATGTTGTCTAATGTAGCAGGGTATATTTGTGTGTAAGTGTGAATATTTCAGCAAGTTAATGTTTAGTAAGATTCTATTGTCTTTTCATAGTAGGAAATGAGCTTGAATTTCTTCAGTTTCCAGAATATCATACTTGACAATGCTATAGTAAAATAAAAATTCTTATACGATACCTTACCTCTTTCACATATTGGCTTTTACCAATTTTGTGCTGCCCTGTATATGCACAATTTTTTGCTCATCACTAGCCTTGAGGCTCCCACCTAAACTCGCTTTTCTACGTGTTATTCCTGCACTGTATCATGCAAATGAGTATGTGACATGTTCAATCATCACTTTTCAATTTGGCATTCGTGTGTAACATGTCGTTTTGTTACTCGTTAACTTTTCAGATTTAGGCACTTTAATAGTTGAAATAATTATTGCAGTTTTTTGGCCTTTTATTTCCACATTATTTTTTCATTAGTGTCAGTAAATTCCAGGCATACCTTCGCACTGTATTACCTTTTATCAATTCCTAAACTCTGAAGTCTTTCCTTCAGACTTGGGGAACAGATCCTCTGTCTTTTGTTTGTCCATTGTAGGATTAATTTTTTCCATCTTTATCTTACACTCTCTACTCTTTTTACATTGTTTTTCCTCCATTTACCTTCTTTCCATGGTATTCTCCGGAGGGGTTTTTGGTGGGTATTTATTCACTTCTGTACTGTGGTGTGTTTATTTTTCTTGGCCTTATCACTTCATATTTAGTTGATCTGTTGCTCAAGTTTTTTGTGGTGGGATGCCCTTGTTACCCAAGTGCTTTTGCCTCTTTTTTATTTCATATACCTTAATCTGGGTCTGCATGCCAATGCTCTTCCTTTATCTCACTGGTTTCCCATCTATCCCGTGCTCCTTCTTTACCTCTTTCTGTCTACCATCTTCCTGCTACCTCTCCTCTCCCTATCCTCACTTCCAATTCCTCTGTTTCCATCTGTCGTCTCCCACCCATTAACTTCAGGGCTGTCAGTCTCGGTGGTGACTGTCCTATAGGCTCAGTTTCAGTAGGGCCCATTTATTTCAGTTTGTGGGCCTTTCCCTCTGTTTGGAGCTGATTGTTGAGTACTGAGAGTTCTGTCAACAAGCCTTACCATTGGTTTCTTCCTCTCCTCCTCCATTGTCTCCTCTTCCTGTTACCTTCTTTCCTACAAGGGGTCTCGTTTCTTGTCAATGGCAGTGTTGGATCTAATAGTTAAAGATCCTATTGGATGGATTTTCCATCCATTTTCAGGATTTTATTCCCATCTTTTTTATTTTTTCCTAGGAATCTGTAAATAGGTATCTGGTCACAGTTATTTTGGATCTCGGTTTCTCAACTTCCTTCAATTTATCGTAAGGACTTTTCTCACTTGACGGTGGTCTTTTGCCTCAGGTCTGGGGTGACCAAGGTGAATGTCTCAGATGCTAATTTTCTCAGTTGACTACATCCCAACAAACCTCCTCTAGCCATCCTCTTCTCCTCATTTGGGATTCAGTGCATTTGGGTTTGTTGGTCACTTTGAAGGAGCATCTCACAACTACTCAGTATTTAATTCATTTGGATGTTTTTCCATTTGCATCTCCATAGAGCCCATCCTTCTCCTCTGCATTTGAGGGACAAGGTTCAATTAGTTTTTCAATACCCTATCCTCTCCTTCTCTTCCTGTGTGGCTTCCATGGAATCCCTTATTCCCTTGAGTCATGCTCATTTGCAGCAACTACTATGGATTCTGCATGATCTTTTTGTCTATGCTTGAGATCCTTTGTCCTCTACCATTTTCCTTTCTTGCTCATCAACTACTCTTTGTGGCTTGACAACACCAATATCTCTCTCTCTCATTTGGATCTCCATCTATTTACAGATGCATACTTTACAAGGTGGGGAATGTATCTTGACTCTTCAGAGATCTTGGGTTTGGTGGACCCATGACAAATCATTCCTTTATACCCAATCTCTTAGAACTTTTGGTAATATGTCGAATGTTGTATAATTTTTTTATAATGGTTTATGGCCATCTTGTCATGATCCATACAGCCAACTTGACAGTTGTCTCCTATATCAATTGCCATGGATACTCGGTTTTGCTCTCTCTATTTCAACACTTTTGACCTTTTTTTTCTCTGCCCATTTTTTACATATATGTCTCATTGTTTGCCATATTCTAGGTGCACTGCGTCTTGTTGCAGATCACCTCTCGATGGGCTGACAGAGTGGTCCCTCAATGTTCTAGTGTTCATGTAGCTGTGCTTTCTTCTGGGAACTCCTCTTCTAGTTGCTTTTGTCACTCATCTCGAAACTACACTTCCCTTGTCCCTTGTGCCTCATCCCAAGGACCGGATGAAAAATACCTGATGCTACTTGGTTTTGGACTAGAGTTGACCCACCATGTATGTTTTCCCCATACTACTATTGCCTGGACATCGGGTTACCAGGTGACCTGGAATTGGATGTGTGCAGGACAGCATACATTAACATTTCCTAGGATTGAGGTGAAGATGGTTGGGACCTTCTTTCTTTCTACTGTAGACTGGATGAAAAATACTTGATGCTGTCTGTTTTTGGACTGGAGTTGACCCATCATGTACAGTCTGATGCTCCCTAGCCACGCTACCTCATTTGGCATGTCCATGTTCCATAATCTGATTCTGGACTGTGAATGTTTTTCACCGAACTTAGTGACACATATCTTTATTATGGACAAAGAGTATACCCTGGTACAGAAGAGGAATGGTCTCCAACAGGTGTGCCCCTACATTTTTCCATGGTATCGGATGTCAAATTCCATGAGTTCCCTTTGGGCACTTTCCAAAGGGTCTCATCAAGGTAACTTTTGCACCATTCCCTCCACCATTTCCACATGGGTGCATCTTTTGTTGCTTAATTTTGAAGTGAGGATTGAACAATCAGTATAGAGGGAGTCAGCTGTGCTAGGAGGGTGTGTCACACTCATATTGGTGGAAAGTTGTTGCATGCTACAGCACAGAAATAGCACATGGAAACATGCAAGTTTAGGTGGGAGCCTCAAGGATAGTGGCAAGAGAAAAATTGTGCATACAGAGGGCAGCACAAAATTGGGAAAAGCTAGTATGTAAGTGAAAGTAAGTATTAAGTATCTATCGGAAATACATTTTCAGTGTTGGAAAATTTTCCCATCTGTTAAAAACTTGCAATGAAAACTAATATAAAAAGTAAGAATTATTGATAAGAAGCACTTCAAGAGTGCTAATTTTTATTTGTTTATTTAAATTCATAGATAAACACATTTATGTCACCCAGTATAATACTAGGATTTTAGCTAAGAGAGATCATTTTTATTTTTATGGACTTATTTCATGTACAAATATCCCTTCGTGAGTCTTCAGACTTACAATACAAAAATTCAGGGTTTCATTCTCTGCAATGGACAAAGTGAAGATAGCTCATTATGTAGCTATGCACTAAGAAGCAACAAATGTGTTTTACAATTTGTGTCTTCTAGGCATTTTTTTGAAAGAACATAGTCACTTCTTTTGCTAACCCTTTTTTTGTTCTCTATTAAATTTTCATAGTAGTAGCTTACAGCCAGCTTATCCTTGATCCTTGTTTATAGAAGCTTTCATTGAAGATGTATTAATACACAATTATTTAAATTTCATGTTAAACCCTTACCACTAGATTAAAGCACAGCTATTGGCTCATAAGTATTCCACCTTGTTTTGATATCTTAGAAGTTTAAGTGCGTATAAAATAAAAAATATATTATTTTGGTGACATGTGAAGTATATTTTCATGACTTGAGTAATTGGTCAGGATATATTTGCATAGTTGGAGAAATAAATGTTTCTTTCACTTTAATTCATATATATAAAAGTTTGTATGATAATTTACTCAGTTTAATGGTGATGTGTGTTGATGATTCTGTCCATATCAAAATTCTTTGTGAACTCAAAGACAACTAATATTGAACTTTTGTACAACTAAAAAAAAAGTGGTGTGCATTTTCATTTTCAAACCCTTAGTTTAATTTACTTTTAATAGTATAATATGGTATACTTCATAAACACAGAAGTTTTTGAAATTTTTTATGTCAAAAACTAATGCAGAAATAAATTAGTTATTTCAAAATTAATCTTTTCCACTGCATATTTTCTGTGTACTGATAAATTAAATTTTAAATATAACACTACACCTTTGTGTCCAATCATTTACATAGTTATATTTTGATATGCTTTAAATTTAGAAAACAAGCTTATGTTTACTTTTTCTTTTGTGTCTTTAATTGAGAAACAGAAAACAAAGATCCATAACCCTGTGATGTCTGTTCATGTAATATTCACCAGTAAGTAAAAACAAGTAGCTAAAGAATCAGTGATCTTCTAGTCTTGTAATATTTTCTACAAGTACTTGATCACTTCTAATTCTAGATATTTTTATTTTCTTTCCTTTGTAATAGGACTGGAGTAAATATGGAAGAAGAGCTGCTGACTGTCCTTTCTCCTCAACCCCAGCCTCTTCCCAATAGTTTATTACTTTTCAGTGATGTCCAATTTATAGACTCAACCTGAAGTGAAATAAAGAATTAGTTTCTTGAAAAGTAAGTTTTAATTGTATTCAACAATGTCTTTTCATGTGTTCACAAGATAAGAATACACAATATGTTCACACAAGTATTTTTACCTGTCATTGTCAATGAGAAATTAAATAGCTGATCTTGCTTGTTAGATTATACGTTGATTTTTTGTTGCTAATAAACTTCTAACATACAGTTGCTAAGACTTCATCTCTATGGACCATAATGAGATCTATACATTATGTTGCCATTTTTTTTCCATAATTAGGCAACCTTTCCATGGACCATTTGATATCAAACTGCTGATCTAAACTATAAGGCACACTACCAAGATCAACTTGAATTTAGTGGCTTAACAGGTATTATGAACATAAATGTGGCAGGATTTACAGTTGCTGATTGACTTTTATGTTCATACAAAGCAATTTATAAGTTTTCCATTTCAGGCATTGATATTTTTATTCATAAACAACTTGAGAAAGAAACAGTGCACTTTCAAAATGCATTCTAGAAAACTATTATTGCAGCTGTAGAATAGCTGAGCAAGTAAGAATGTTGTACGTTGATGAGACAGTTTTGAAGTAAACTGTAATAAATCATCCTACTCATTTTGAGCTGGATCCACAGATCTCAAACTTATATTGGTTGTCAAGTAAGCTTGTTTCTTCAGATTATTAGAAGTATCTGTTATTTTATCTAAAGCAGGCATTGTAAGATTTAGCAAGAAAACAATCACATTTATTTGAAGGTTCTAGAAAAATAATTGAAAGTACTGAAATAATATAATGTATAGAATATGGAATCCACTGATGAACAATTTATAAAGTAAAACATAAGATACACCTTTTAGTAAGTTACTGAACAGTGAAAGATAAGAAGAGTCCCATTACAAATAGTGGAAGCATAAAGATTTAGATTCAAGAAATAAATGGCTAATACTGTGGAAAAGATGGAAATAGGAGAATTAGAGAAAGGAAGAGGAACATTTATTTTATCAAAATAAGTAATGAAGATGCAAAGAAGGAATAAAAAG